TTTACATAATGTTTATTTTATCTTTTTGGCTTTAAATTTGCTATAGTTACTGCACTTATTTTCTGATAATGTCGTGTATGGAATTTACAAAAAATCGGCACGTCTATGCAAAAAAAAAAAAAAAAATCTTTCATATATTGTGAATTCTTTTTTCCATTTATGATTAGTGAATATAGTTTTTTTAATAAAACAACCGGCATAAATTAAGCAGAATTTTAAAAGATTTAAAATTTTATAAATTATTATAATTAAAATATGAAAAAAATGAAAACAATTCATATAAAAATTCATTATTCATAGAATAATGTCCATAATATATTTTATTCATAAAAGCAATTAAGTTTTTCTAATTAAATAATATCTTAGTTTTATTGCATTTTTCAATTTACGATTCACAGCATATTTCCGTAAATTGGGGTCCTGTTTTACAAAAGGAAATTTATGATTTAAATTCTCCAAGGAGTTCTGCTTTTAACTAATATAAGCATTTAGCGGGTCCAAATTTTATTTCTCGGAATTTCATAAAATTAAATAAGTGGTGGTGGCAGGGTAACAGATGTAAATAATATTTTTACCAAAATTTTCTAAAAAACATTCTCAAAATAATTTCATTCATTTCTGAATAAGTTCTGAAAGTTTCATTAAAATCCAACCTTGGTTTTTGCAAAATTTCCAAATTAATGTGATGAAAAAGATGCTAAAGTTTGTATACTAAATCTGACGCAAAAAGAAAAAAAAATGACGATTTTCCAAAAAATCTTTAAAAATATAATTTAATAATCAAAACATCCTCTGGTCTTTCCCCTTAGTAACAACATAAACATTTTGACGATAAAAGTTCGTTTTTGTTAAGTTTGAGCATTTTTTCATCATGGTATGCTAAGTTTTTAGCGTGTTAGTGGAGCCATTATTAATTAAAATTTATAGAAAAAAAGTGGAAATTATCTTTTTCGTTAATTATTATGAACTATTGTTAAAAAGGAATTTTTAGAGCATCTTTATGAGATACGAACAGAAGTTAACGGTGTCCACTTGTCAGAAACTTAGAAACTGAATAAGAATTTTTTTTCTTTTTTCTTTACTCTGGAAACTTTTTCCACACATTTAATAAATCATTCTACAATTGACATTGCTGTTCCGTATATATTTGTTGCTTTTATACCATATTTTGGCGCAAAACGTATTTCTTGAACACTAGTCGACAATCAAATTATTTTTTTACTGGCCTGCATGCAACTCACTATATAACAAGGAATGCGCTTACATTTTCGGTATCTAGTTACTTTGTAACAATATACGTACTTTTTCCTTTATTCGTTAGTAGAACGGCCTTTTCTGATATAGCTGTTATTTCAATTAATTACTTATGAAACTTGGGTTCGATCCCAAGAGATTGACAAAAACGTTATATGTTCTTTGGATTACGATTGTTGATTATATTTCTCTTCAGGTTTGGGTGTGGGGAAATTTTTTTAAATTCAGAGCAACTGATTCCCGCATTTTAGTGTTTTCTTGATATTAAAATAAGTCAAACTCGTAATAATGAATTCCCATGTTCCATAATTGACCTCAGACCAAAATATTGATGTGAAGTGGATGGTAATATATCTAATGACTTCATTCATAAAATTTTGGGTGCGGTTTCGGCAATTTTAGGGGTTTCGTTCGATTAATTCAGTCCCAGGTCTAATATCAGGGTGCAGGGCGTTAACTAAACCTCCCTTATTTTATCTTTGACGACGTGGGAAGATTAAAAATTTCATAATGTCATTCGGTTTATGAGAAAGAAAGAGTAAACAATGAAGTGCATCTTAGCCACTTTTGATATTGCAAAGATCAAACTATCTCTATATTTATATAGTTTTTCATAATAACCTACGTACCTGCGGTGTACGTAAATGTCAGTCTTGTAACCTTATAGGAATTATTAACGCGATCTTTTTTTCCTATAAATTTCTGGTCCTGAACCTAAACAGATGAAAAAGTCTAGCTAATCCGCACAATGACGATAAATGAAGCCAAGGGCTCAACTTTCGAGGAATTTTGAACATGTCGCAACTAGCGTCTAGCCATTTTAAAATGGGGGGCATTAATAATACAACGGATAAGAATTATCTATCTATCTATCTATCTATCTATCTATCTATCTATCTATCTATCTATCTATCTATCTATCTAATTCTATTAATATCTGTCTCATCTATCTATCTATCTATCTATCTATCTATCTATCTATCTATCTATCAAGTGATTTACTAAGCGTAGCTTAGATGTGGCACAAAGCCGCAAGTATGGAACACTCAGTGAGGATCGATCTCACTACTAGGTCGTAATTGCTCTAGTTTTCTAATCATTATCCCTATCTGAAAGTGTCTAGTAAATAGCGATTTAGTAAGCGTAGCTTAGATGTGACACACGATCGAAGGTATAGAGCACACAGTGAGGATATAACTCACTAGTCAATCCTACTTGATCTATCTATCTATCTATCTATCTATCTATCTATCTATCTATCTATTGTGAGTATTATTTTAGAATGTAGTACATACTTTTGGAAATGTGTAATTTTTTTTAGTTTTAGGAAGTTGTAGAGATCGACTACTTTAAATTAAAATTATATTCATGCACACACATACATATATGTATACAACATACACAGGCATATATGCATATACACACTTACGAACAAACACAGATACATATATGTAAGTTCAACACACTCGTAGTTAGTAACTACTTTTTTTCCAATGATATTCATCCTATACAAGGTAGTGGCGTACGTTGATAGCAAGGAAGGTTGAAACTTCTCGTTTATAATCCATATTCTGTTTGCGTTATTAGATTTATTGTATATAAAATAAAATCGTGGCATAAAGCCTAAAAAGGGTGGTAATGGGTTGAGGCTGGTGGTCAATAACTATCTTATACCTAGCTAATCAGATTCACGACCCATTCATTCATTACAACTTGCATATCCACCACAAGAACTCATCCATTATTATTCAATCTTATATATACCACAATACCACTTACTTTCAGGGAACCTACACAACACCCGATTATATAAAAAAATTAATAAGTATAACATTCTAGTCTGTCTATATTTATGACATGAGGTATTATGTACATTATTTGCATTATTCGGACTAGTATTGTCCTCATCTTTGTCGCCATATTTATCACAACGTTTCGGCCGTTGTACGCTCCGGCCTTCTTCAGGTGGTTGGAATTTCGAACTGAACCCTTTATTTCGCTCACTGGGGTAGACTGTTCTAGTTCCACGTTAAACTTAAGGAATCAGCACATATGCTAGGCCACAAAAATCTCCTGAGCCGACCAAGCATAGAAATAAATACAATATGGGAACCAGTAATAAGGAGTGCCAGAGAAAAGCAATGATAACAACAAAGTTGCAATATGAGATCTGGTAAAAACATTAAATGATAACAGCAAAATTGCAATATGAGCACTGGTAAAAATGTTTGCTGAAGACATTAGGTTTATAGGTATTTACTTGACTCCCACAAGGTCAAGATGTGACACAAGGTCGATTAACGTGGGAAACCCGAGTGTTTCCACTCAAAGGCCACTGGTCAAAATTGGTCATAGCATGTCCAAGCTGGTCAGAGCTTAGTCAAAGCTGGTCATGACTTGTCCTAGCAAGTCTAGGCCGGAGCTAGTCCAAGCTAGTCGAAGCCTTGATCGAATCTCAGCCATAGGCCAAGAAACGATCCAGTATTTGTCAAAACCCCCAGCATAACGCCAGGTAAGTATGGTTTATAATACCGAGAAATTCATACCCAGATATCCTCAAGGACATATAGCACAGTGGATAAAGGCGTTGGTTAGATCCAGTGTCAGGACCCAAAGAGTGTGAGTTCAATACCCGGTTAAATGGAGAACTTTCAGAGGGAAATTAGCAGGAGATAACATCAAAAACATGGCACGTAGAACTAGAACAGAACAAAGATGAGGACATTAGTCCAAATAATGTATATGACATTCTATGTAAAAATCTGTTGATGATACACAATGGGGACGCGTAGGGGATGAACCCAAAAAAAACAAACTAAAATAACGCAAAAACATACAAACTAAAGATAACTAATGTTAGTTGGAATCGTCTAACCCTCAAAAGAATTCTTTTTACATTGATATGGATAACAGTTTTACAAAATGGTATCTGACATGGAAGTTTGTAGCAAGTTGGGTTGCATCACTGAATTTTGCCATGCAGAATATTTGCACCCATTGAAATTTATTGACGTCTATTGAACGTTTACGGTAGCAACCTTGATGTGTGTGACAAACCTCATGTTGAGCGGCTCTGCACAATTGTCAGCACACGGATTGAAGAGCGCATCGAAAATGTATAACCAATGCTGAAAGGTTGCTAATTTCTACGGTGTTATCCAGTTCCTAATATCTCTTGTAGTTTGCGTGAAAATAAATAGGAGGTATTCTAAAATTTATTTCAACTCTATACTTCTAATGTCTCCACCCAAACTCTGAAACATTATTTACTATTTATTTGTTAGGGGTGTAAATAGGTATGTCTACCGTCCGGTTCACACTCCTCTCGTTTTTTTTTTAACAGGATTAGAGGCTTAGCCCTTGTTTTCTGTTTAGGATTCGGTTTTCGGATTTTTCTAAAGTCTTCTCATTTTACTTCACTCCCAGTAGCCCCCTTGCGTCTTAGTGGCATTATTGCTTTATTTGGGGCAAATTGATTAAAACAAATAAGTTTCTTCTCTCCTTAGCTACGAGTTAAATAGCAGGGTGTAATGGTCTAGCTTTGGTTGGTTACCAGTCTAGAGAAAACTCTGAATTCAAAACTTGCAACAACTGGAATCGGTGCAATGGCATGTTCGTCCAACAAAAGTGGGATAGTGATATTTAATGGCTAAAATAGCAAAATGCTGTGACCACAGTGGTCGAATCGGCATCCGACAGAGTGGTCAGTCAAGGTGATCAAGGTGATCCCTAAATCAAACCAAGCATATGGTCATATCATGTTAAAGCACCGATTCCCGTACGATCACCGAAGTTAAGCAACGTCGATCCTGGTCAGTACCTAGATGAGTGATCATATAGGAATACCAGGCACTTGGATGTGTGGATGGTGTAATGGATAATGACTCGGAACTGTTAAACGTAGAACCAAGTTCTAATTCCAACTCTGTTCGTTATATTCACTTACGCGCAAATAACTTTGGGAAAGGTATGAATTCAACTCTTTCCCCCCAGCTAGGGGTTAATTAGTTAGACTTTCATAACAAAATTATTATTATCTCCCTCTCCAAAAAAATCCTTACAATCTAAAAATGCCTTCCGAGATTATTTTTTGATTTTATGTATCTTTATTAAAATCTAAAATCAGCAAGAGAGATTTGGATCAGGATGGTGGTGCCATTAATAAAATTCACTCAATCAATTTTACAATTGCTACACCGTTTTTTACAAGACTCCACTAGCATCGGATAGGTAAAGTTGGAGTCAATATAAGAGACTGCTCATGCGCAAATTTATTCTACGTTAATAGGAGTTAGTATCAAAACAGAATCTGGGTCTGGCATGTATGTTCGTATAATGGCGTATATTTGATTAAAACTTGTAGCAAAAAGGGAATACAGTTTTTAATATGACTGAAATTATTCACTGTTAACCTTAAAAAATGTTAGGTTTTTATTTGATTTGGAGAGACATTTGAAATTTCTAGGGCACGTAAAGAGGGCCTAGAAAATTTGATACTCACGGGACATATTGCAGGCAAGAAGGAAAGAGGAAAGCAACGCTTAACCTACTTAGCGAGCTTGAGTAAATGGATGAGAAATCAGAGTTTAGGAGAGATAAGAAAAAGACAAAATTTAGTAAGAGCTACAAAAGACAGGAGATTGTGGAGAGCCATGATCACCAACGTCCTGAAGGGACACGGCACATAGAAAAAGAATATGTACTTCTCAAAAAAAAAATTATACATGGTTTCTTCTGTTACTTACGTCCCACCTCTCCGTTCACGCAATGCATATGATGAAATAATCTTTGAAACAGATGACAATCCACTTAGCCCAAGGTCAATAACTCCGTAAACATTAGTTACATCTTGTGATTTTTCAATTATTACGAAGTTACGATTTGAGAAATGTATTTGATTGAATATTATCATAAATATTTATAATAGGAAACAAAATGTAAACAGTAACGAAGAACTGAAGGGAATAGTTTTCAACGGAGAAATACAGATTCAGCACATTAAATGTATTAGCTCATGTTACAATTTTTTGAAGTGACCTCTAAGAAAGTAGTTCCTGCTTTGTCGTTTTGATACGGCAAAGTTATTGGATCATGAAAAAAGTTTGGAGATTTCTATTGGATGCCCAGCACTACCTTGAAATAAATGAAACACATTTTTATACGTATTATTTACAATTTTGTTGCAAATTAAGCATAAATTTATTCTTTTTAAACTTGGTGAACTGAAGCACCAAAAATGAACTAATTTCTTCGCTAAGTCAACATGAAAATCTTTGTCACCTGAGACGCAAGAGAAAATTCAGCCTGATTGGTCGATCGTAGTTTGAATAGATCTTTAGGAGAGCTTTTGTTTGGAGGTTTATAAAATGGGCCTTGATCCTGGAAATGATATTAGCATTTGGAGGATTATGAATTTTTGTAAGATGTCGGGTATTAGTGAATAAGATATGCACTTTAGTAGCACTCAGAGAAAGGCATTTACTTGTAAATAATTTCTGTTAGTCTAAAAGTGATTGCTTGAAAAGTGATCGCTTTAATATTCATGAGACGAAAATTTCTGGTTTTTTTTTCCATTTGTTCTATTAAAATTTTTCAATGTATATTTTACGGCTTGCTTTTGTTATTTACTATATAGAAAAAAGGGAAAACTTTTTCTTTCGCACCAAAAAAGCCACAGAAACTGAATCTGTATTCCCTTTTAATTCTGGGAGACAACGTTGAAACCAAGCGTACTTCACCAATGAACCACGGGAAGCCATCACAGCGAAGCAAACTTCACTTACTCTATTTAAGAAATGCACATCTTTCGTTGGACCATTTCAAAGTCGATATAGACTTTGAAATGGTCCAACGAAAGAACTTTATTTTCGTACCCGAAAAATAAAGAAAGTAAATATTTAATTAATTAATGGATTTTTTTGTCCGGCGTTATTTTTATTACCATCAGTGTTATATACGTGCTCGAGTAGGCAACTCTGTTTTTGAAACACTCGGCCAATAAATCGATAGTCTTATTAAAGAAAATGTGCTTCCTAGCACGAATTGGAACTTTATTCTTATTTAGAAAAGGCCATTACAGCCAAGTGTGCTGTATCATTAAAATATGGGAAGCCATCCAAGTAAATTAAACTTAAATTAACTAAACACACCTTAAAACGAGAGATTTTTTTACTTTTTTAAAGTAATAGACAAAATTTCAGTAACTACAGTGCATTTGCTTTTACTTTGAAAAAAAAAAAAACAAAAGCACTTAACTATAGAAAGTTATCATACAACAAAATTATATTTTGTTTTCGCCAATAAAACTGCCCCCTGCTTTAATTACTGCTTTACAAATTCTTGGCATTCTTTCCAACAGCGTTTGAAAAACGGTTGACGGCAGACCTTCCCAAGCATTCTTGAATCACTGAAAAATCTCACTCTCACATTTTGGGTATTCTCTTCAAACTATCTTATCCAATTCATCCCCTGCTAATTCAATGGGAGAGAGACCAGGAGATTAAGGCGGCCAAGTCATAATTTGCAACTTAAAATTTTTTTGACTCCTGGTAACTTTGACATACTTTAGAAGAATGTTTTGGATCGTTGTTTTCTTGAATTGTTCTTTTTTCATGATTCCCTTGACCCAAATGTCCAATATCGAACCGTTATCCATTACACCGCCCGCACATCCAAGTTTACACCACTTGTTATTCCCTCGCGGTCACCCATCTAGGTTCTGACCAGGCTCGACGTTGCTTAACTTCGGTGTTTAACTGTGAAGTGCTATAATAATAGCCGTTAAGTATTTTACTTTTCACTTTCTGTTTTTTATCATCAGTTAGTAAGCAATTTTATTGACCTAAACTTTTAAATTCTTCGTAAGTAATTGTTAGCAAGCTTGTTTCGCTAAATCAGTTACATTTGAGTAGTGACTTTGATCCTCACTGTGTGCGCCATACTTGCGGCTTTGTGTCACATCCATGCTATGCTTAATAAATTATTTCTAAGCTAAACTGAACAAAGCTCTAAAGTGGGTTATCACTGAGGATCGATTGATTGAATCGTTTGTTTAACGGCATATCAACTCCTTATGGGTCATTAAATGCTGAAATTTAATTTTAGTTTTGAAGTGACAGAAATATGATATATGTTATTCTGCTTCCACAATTGAATACATGGTAGATGATTAGCTGGTTGGTTGGTTGGTTTTGTTTAGTGTCATATCAACATCTATGGGTTATTTAATGCTGAAATCTAAATACTTGGAACACAATTTCATGATTTCAACTAAGTATATTTTGAACACAACTGTAAAGCCTTCAGCTAGAGATAAAATGTATTGTTGGTCATTTTGCTATAATATATATTGTTAGTAATTCTACTATAAATATGTATTGTTGGTAATTTTCTTATATAAAAATGTATAGCTGGTATTTTTACTATAAAAATGTATTTTTATGCTTTTATAGTGTTTTGTATCTGTTTGGGGGTTCACTATTTGCCCATAGATGAGGTGCGGTATTTACTCGTTCCCCCATGAGAACGAGATGTGACACAAGGTCGGTTTAATGTGGGGACCCGAGCGCGTACACCCGGCCAGGGACAAAAATTCCTCGGCCCCCGCAAACCGTCGGTTGCGCTGGCCTCGGTGCGAGCACCGATTCCTCCCTCTGGTGCAATGGGAGGGCGCGGCCTCGGGCAGCTGTTCCCCAGGGATGGGCACCTCTTCAGTATTATTTTCTCAGTTGCCCCTCCGTCCTTAGATGAGGTGCTACCACCCCGGATCAGACTGAACCTGCGAACAACAGCAATTAAGATGTGGTGCCACGCTCCTCAAAACCTCCAATCTCTTGATCAGAGGCTGAGCATTATTTTGCTTGGCTAATTTGTTAATCGTCTCTTCTAGCGGGATTTCATGTCTGTCACTGCATTTTCTAGAGAGTTATATGAATGTGTTTTAAAAGCCAATAAAATATGTCGCTTTAAATACTGTTGTATTGTGTTGTTCTACGACGCGTGACCAGTAACCAACTTCCCCACATGCAGTTAGAGACAAATTATTCAATTTGTAATTGTTTCATTTTATATTTATGAAATGTATCAGCCATACCTTCAATCAACTGCAATTGAATTAATTCATCCTCAATAACCAAATCTTAAGTTTCAAGTTTCTCAAAATCGCAGAATCTGCTAGCTTCTCTTAATCTGGGAAGATATTGCATAATTAATTCGTCTTGTTTTTTTGTTTAATGGGCATAAATTTGGTTTCTTCCGCTAAGACAAGTTTCTTTTTAGGTTGTAAACTTCTTTTTATAATTTATGAAATTTCGACGAAGGTCAAATTCTTTTCTCCCTCTCTTGCCTGGTTGTCTTTCAATATTTTAGCCCTAGCCTGAGCTGTAAAACACTAGATTCAAGTCGCGACAAATTCTAGTTCATCTGAGCTGCTTAAACATGCTATTGGTGACCCCATAAATACGTTCTCTAATTTTCAGTTGTGTAATCATTACTGCAAAAGTTGTTCGAACTTCTGACTTATTTTTGTTACTACAACATTTCGGTCGATACATTCTACGCTCTTCTTCAGGTATAACAAATTAGATTGTGGGGATTACCCTACCATGTGTGTCAAGATGCCGGTGGCTCCGTATATAAAAAAAAAAACGGACATAACTCTTTCTTTCTTTTTTTTTGTTGTTGTTTCGGAATGTAGTAGCTAATAAAACAGGGCTTCTTTCCACCGGGGTTAGGGAAGTTTTTTTTGTTTCCACGGCCGGCCGTCTTGTTAATTTTAGCTAGCCACGTGACACATTACACACACGCATTTTTTTTGTTAAACAAGACCCCAGTTACAGAAAATATGCTCTGA